ATTAGGAGACAAGAGCATTCTTCTCCTCTGGGTACCTACCAGAATTGCCTTTTCTGTTCAAATCCGTACCTTAAATATCCCTTTGTTAACCCCTTTCTTGCCTATCTTCTGAGCTTTGCTACACTCATGTAATTCCCCTGCAACTTCCTCTCCGCTTCCAAACCCACTTATTTTCTGACTTTCCCAAACTTCCTTGAAATATTTCATTTTGACATGGGATATAGTATGGGAAACTTGAAGCGAGGTTGGTTTTTTTGTAAATGTTGCATTTTATTGCCCTCAGAAAAAGCTTCCACTTAAAAGCCAGCTTAGCTTCAACTGCATCTCTGGAGTAATAGCTCTTGAAGTGAGTTCACATACTCTCTCCCTTTGTGTGTTTTAGGCTCTGGGCATTCTGCATTAACTGCATCTACACCCCCTGTGCTGCAGCAGCACCACTACTACATGCATTATGCTGTAATCCCTCATGGAAGAAGTGGCTGTTTCTTTGTCAGTGCTATTGTGGCCACAGTCTTTGGGGCCCCAGAGTTTCTAGGGCAATACATTGTCAACCGCCTGGGTAATACTCCCATGAATAATGGTCAGAAGTGCAGGCACACATCCAAATTAGAAACATGTGTGCGCCCTGCACAACTGGGATAGAGATCTGAATATCAGAACAGAGAAAGGGACCAGTGCAAGATTGTTCCTAGTGTTTAATTATGGGATGGTTTGGATAGGGCTGATCCTGCCTCAGGGAGGGGATTGGACTAGATGACTTCTGGAGGTCCCTTCCAGCCCTACTGCTCTATGACTCTATGTTCATAAAGTCAATATTTTTGTTTGAAGCAGTATCGGTTAAGCATGTTATTTGGCACAGCCACTAACCTGTAATTTCTGTAGTGTCTAACAGGGCTCTTCACGAGTGGGAACTAACAAAGCCCAATATACTACGTATATAGGAATAAATCAATATACAAGACAAAAAGATCAAATTAAAGGCGGCATGAGCCCACTTACTTTACAGTGGGCTATTTCAAAGATTACATTTCCAACAATTCATTCTATAGAACAGATTTCAGGGAAATAACATTTCACATTCAATGATAATGTAATTCAACAGGAGTCAACGTTGCTGGCAGGCATGTCACAAAGTAGTCCCACAACCTCTCCAAGTCATCTCGGCCTGCCCAGTATATTGTACTCTGCTCCCTCTCTGTGCTCCCTGCCCAATTTGCTGCTTTGCTTTCTGCTTTCTGCCCCACCTGCCACTGTACTTCCTGTCCCCTCCCTGATCTGCCATGTGCCACACACAGAGGCTGTGGCATCTGTGAAGCAAGTTGGCCATTCCTGATGTAATTAGAAATTAATTAGTATATGAAGGATATATGCTGTCAATCACTGATTCCATTTCAAACAAAACATACACCCTTTGTTTTTATTCATTTCTCAACATTTCTCTTTTCAAGGGACAGTTGTATAAAAACCAACATATTCAAACATATCTGTTTCAAAGAAGTTTATTCCTAGTAGTTAATGACAGCATATATTTTATAAAGCTTGATCAACTTTCTGACTCTTCCTATCTAAGAAATTAGATCACATCTTCATAAGCCTCTTGCTCAAACATGCCAAAAGTTACCAACATTAGAAAATGCACAAAGAACAAAGCATGAGATATTTGATATTTGAGTTTTTTTATTTAAAGTAAATTTGTTTTAACTGTTAAAAGGTTTCTAAAACATCTTATGCATAAGGCCTTTTCTTTTTAAATCCATATTTTTCAGCCTGCAATATCTGCTGTTCATTTTTATCTGGGCTAGTAACACTTAGATTCATAGATGTTAGGGTCGGAAGGGACCTCAATAGATCATCGAGTCCGACCCCCTGCATAGGCAGGAAAGAGGGCCGGGTCTAGATGACCCCAGCTAGATGCATATCCAACCTCCTCTTGAAGACCCCCAGGGTAGGGGAGAGCACCACCTCCCTTGGGAGCCCGTTCCAGACCTTGGCCACTCTAACTGTGAAGAAGTTCTTCCTAATGTCCAGTCTAAATCTGCTCTCTGCTAGCTTGTGGCCATTATTTCTTGTAATCCCTGGGGGCGCCTTGGTGAATAAAACCTCATCAATTCCCTTCTGTGCCCCCGTGATGAACTTATAGGAAGCCACAAGGTTGCCTCTGAACCTTCTCTTGCGGAGGCTGAAAAGGTCCAGGTTCTCTAGTCTCTCCTCGTAGGGCTTGGTCTGCAGGCCCTTAACCATATGAGTGGCCCTTCTCTGGACCTTCTCCAGGTTATCCGCATCCCTTTTGAAGTGCGGTGCCCAGAATTGCACGCAGTACTCCAACTACGGTCTGACCAGCGCCCGATAGAGGGGAAGTATCACCTCCTTGGACCTATTCGTCATACATCTGCTGATGCACGATAAAGTGCCATTAGCTTTTCTGATGGCTTCGTCACACTGCCGACTCATGTTCATCTTGGAGCCCACTAGGACTCCAAGATCACTTTCCACTTCCGTGCCACCCAGGCTTCCCACTTCTGCCATCTCATTTCACTTGAAGCAATTTGTGCTGTTGAATGCTGTGGTTGTTCTGTAATATTGATTAGGTTGACACTACAAAACATTTTCAGTTGCTGGCTGGCAAACATATCCTAAATTTTAGGCATAGGGCTTAATGTTGAGATGCTCATAAGTAAGCACTTAATATGATCTGAAGGGGTGCAATCTACACGTGCCATTAATGCACAGCAGTAAACTATGGAGCTTATTGCTCCACCATTTGGTGCTCCCAGAAAGCTCCTGGGCATGCAGTTTATATGTGCAATTGGACTGCAGCACATTGAACAGGGTTGCAGCAGCCTCAGCTGGCAGGGGGCCCAGATGGCCAGCCTGCCAGCCCAGACCTTCTCCAACTGGGCTCAATGTGCTGTGAATGATCTGGCATGAGGGTGCTCCAGTACAGGGCTAGCCAGCAGGCAGCCCCCACACTGGAGCACCCTTATGCCCCAAGCAGCCAGATCAGCATCTACACATGTGCTGCTGCGCATGAAAAACTCCATAGCTGAGTAGTACTTAAATACAAGTACTATCTTGCTGCGGAGTGAATTAGTTTCATGTGCCCTATTAGGGGCACACATACAGATGCCATTTACTGAGCAGTTAATTAGTCAACTGCATAGTAAACGTATCATGTAGACACACTCAAGCAGTAGTATTTAGGTCTTACGTGAACTTAAATGGCATTTGCAAAGCTATAAGAGCAGCACAGTTCACCAAAATGTCACTGATAAATACATTCACGTTCTGATGATTCTGTATTTATATACAATAGCACCTTCCAGTGGCTCCCAAAGCAATTTGCAAACTACAGTTACTGTATAAAAATTATAGATAGGAATCACTTTTCCCATCACTGAGCTGTGGCCACCAGTGCAGTGGCATATAAAACTGTTGGAGAGTGCACATCAATTCTAAGGAATACTTTTACATCAGAAAATGACTAGCATATCAGAACTTAAGGTTACATGGTGAGTTTTGCTGGACAGACTAGATTCAGAAATTAGAACTTATCACATTACATCACAACTAAGGCTAGAGTGCATGTCTACGCATGCTTTGAGCACACAAGTAGCATCACCTTCTTATAAAAAAAAGAAAAAGACAGACAAATTTATGCTGGGTCTAAAAAAAAAAAAAAATCAAAGTCTGGCATTAGATATGCAACTTTGAAAATGTCAGCTGAAAATCAGCTAACTGACATGGAAATGCATAATAAACAATACTTAAGCAATTATAAATACACTCTACTATTCAGAGGGTTCCTGAATTTCTGATGTTAGACTACTCAGGCACATTAATTAAATAAGCTAGTTTAAGTCAATGTTCTGGTCTTAATAATGGCTTCAGTTTTAATCTTATACTCGCTTTTTAATTATTAAAAAAACTCAGTGGGAAAAGCATTCTTAAGTAGTTTGTATTTTAAAAGAAGAGAATGTGGTGAACTACAGAAAACAAAATACTGAGGCTCTAATGGTGACCAAGCAATCCAGGAATTGAATAGTACACTAATGGCTTATGCTGCCATGAGATTGCTTCGATAGAATTATTTAATTGGAAATGCTGGTAATGCTGCGTATTGTCCCATTGTAAACTAACACTATAGAGCAGTGATTCTCAATCAGGGTGATGCCACACCCAGGGGTGCCTTGATATCCCTTCATGGAAGCTGTGGGGCACCACACAATGTTAGACTCTTAGGCATGTAAAACATGATTCACAAGATAAACCTAGAGAATTAAATTAGGAATCAATATCGTTAAAAATATTCTGACCTATTATGGTGTCTCTGAGCTCTTTACAACAAAAAAATTGCTATATTTTTTTTGTAATAAAAAAAGTCAAATCTAAGACCTGGCATTTTCCAAGGGGTGCTTTGAATCCAACTGGTTGAAAATCGCTGCCATCAAGTTGTCATTATGCTAATGCAAATATATGGCTATTGACCTCATCTTCTAACATAACTTAATATTCATCTAATTATGAAATATGTTTTGTAATTAAACATTTATTCCCTTCAGTCAAAGAGCAGCTTTACTAAGAGATTGGTACCTACATGTGAGAGAGATAAAAGCAACTTTTAAACAAGATATTCAGTTTGCAAAGCATTTTGATTTTAAGTTACCTAGCAGTTAATATGCCATGAAACAGTTGAAAAAGCATTATTAGAATCTGAGACACTGAAGCAAGCTTTTTGACATGGGGCAACTTCTAAATTATTTAATGAATCCCACAATTCATTTTTACTTAATAAATAATTTACAATTTATTACAGACAAGATTTACAATTAATAAAAATATATGGATTAAAATCCTGGCAACTTTGAAGTTAACAACAATGCTTCAGTTGACTTCAATGAGGTCAGGATTTTATTTCTGGTAAGCAGCATGTTTGCTAGTATCTCACAAGAGATGGAGGAGACAAATAGAAATCTTAAAATAGTATAGAACACGCACACATGCACAATTCAAACATGTTTTTATTTAATATACAAGTATGCATATTTTCAAATCTAGCTGTGGCGTCAGGTAGGCTATTTATTATTTTATTTTGAATATCAATATTTACATTCTTCATGTGATTTGGTCTTTACCCAGCAGCATTTCTTTCCTGCCCGATCAGGGAAAGCTCAGAGTACGATGGAAGAAGAGTACAGTAAATTCTGTAATGTAAACCAAACCAAAAGTAACTTCTATTCCACCATGTTAACAGACCAAAGCAACTTATTTTGTCTCAGAATTTTGTTAAGATTTTCAACAAAATCTGAGAACTTGAAGTTGACACAATCCAACTCTGACAGCAGCTTTTAGCTATAGATTTCTTTGCATATAAAGAAGCTAAGACATACTGCTGAAATGGATAGTTTGACCAACTTAATGCTGATTAGAATTTACAGGGACATTTCACACAGTGATGCTTTTTATTTTCTCACTGTGAAAGGACAGCAAATCCTTAAACAAGCACTGTCACATTCCCCTTTACATTTTACACAATATTCTCACACTAACCTCCCTATAACAGTCCCAAACTATTTTCTTTGACTAAACAGTAACCTGTACAGTTAAATATCTTGTGCGGTTGATATTAAACATTTAAAGAACTTTAATATGTTAACATTATTTCTATATTTCTTTAAAGTATTTCAGCTTTTGTATAAAACTTGAGAGCTGGAAATGGTCAAAAAGAGGGTTCTGAAGAGTCTTTCAAGTTAATTCAAATAAATTAAAATTTTATTTGTCCATCTCACATTAACTATTTATTTCCTAATGGACTGTAATTTTTTTTTTTTTTTGTAACTTTGCTCCATATTTTGGCAAGGCAGAAACTGATTTATTATTCATTTTAACACAAGGCAAGTCGCATTGGATTCTCCATGTTTGCTTTCAAGGCCTCCAGGAACTTTGAAGCCAGTTCATCATCTACTACCCGACCATCACTCGACAGTGTCATTGTCATGAGCTGATGCTGCTGAAGCTTCTCATTCCCTTCTTCATCCTCAACAATCTTGAGTTCAGGCCGTGCTCGTCCCACAGCTAAAATGCAGGCCTGAGGAGGGTTTATGACAGCAATGAAACCGCTGATGCCAAACATGCCCAGATTGGAAATGCTAAAGGAAAAAAAAAAAGTCACATATGGGTATCAAAATCTATATGCTCCCTAAAAGCAAAAGCAATCCATAGCATAAGTTCTTGGGTGAAGTTCAGTCAAACTTCTGACCCCTTTGAAATCCCAATGTCAACAGGGCTGCTTCAGGTAAGGGCAGCATTAAACCTGTCATATCATAAAATATATTGATTTTTTTTAAGTGGCTTAGGTATATGCCTCATTTATTCATATAAAGATACCCTTGCACTGCTGCAGAGTTGAGATATAGGTGTCTGTGGAAAGTTTACTACTAAGGAGTTTGCGATAACAGCTTCAAATTGCTCTGGGAAGATTGACACCGTGCAAAAAATGGGAGATACTAGCTGAACCGGAAGTGTTGCTGAAGGCATCTATAAAAATGCCTAATCGGCACATACTGACTGCAGCTTCCACAAGTGAGGCTCTAGCTCCAATTAAATTGAACCTTCAGACTTCTCTACCTGCTGTCTCCTATAAGTGACTCCCATCTGATGGGCAAGAGGGTAGCTGCTGCAGGAAAGATGCAATGCAAAACCATCCTCTTTGAATCCAGTCCCTGAATTACAGCAGAGTTCTAATAGACCTATGCTACCATATTTACTCAAATACAACATACACCATTTTTCCTATGGAATTTGGATGTGCATCTTAAACAAGTATACCCAGGGAGCAAAGGGCTTGATCCTGCT